ATCACAATGGAAAGGCAGACCCTGCAGAACATGCTGATACACAGGAAGAGGCATTTGTTGATTTTTCCCATCACACACCCCTTCAGTACTTCACAAGCCTTGGAAAAGTCAGAGCACAGCAAAAGGAAAACTCAGATCCTTTTTTTTTTTTGCAACTACCTTACCTGCTCCTTGCTCAAAAAAAACCCCCAAACAGTTAAAACTACTTACACTTGTGTAGTAGGGGCAGGGAGAATCTCACTGGGAAAAAATACTGCCTCCACATGCAGCCCTTCTCCTCTTGGACCTTAGTAGTACATATCCTGGTAAAAATGTTAAGTAAGGAAGAATATGTAAGAATTAAATAAGAACAAGCTAAATTTAAATAAAAGATAATCAATGGGAAACATCTGGGCAGGAACTCTGAAAAAGAAAACAAAACAGAACAAACCTACCACATCTGATTGTGAATCTATGGAAAAGGAAACTAGTACATCAGTATATCATATGGGGGAATTTATCAATTTCTAAGCACAGGAGCATGAAAGTTTGTCTGAATAAAGGGTAAGTGTTTGAGCTTTGCCTGTGCTGTTGCTCAGCACCAGAGCTATTTCATCATGAAGGGATGCTCTGTAATCAAGGTAATAACTTGCTTTGAACACACACAGAGGATGGAGAAAAGTCTGGGCTAAATAAATTAGGTGGTTAAAGGTGAGAAATTGTTACAGAAGGTCTTTCTGTTGGTCATTGGCTTGAGGAGGGGAAAAAGACCTCATGATATGAGAAAGAGAAAGGAAAATAAAAGAAGAATTATTGAGAAGTAGTAAAGAAACATTCAAAAAAATTAATTCTGGGATTTGGAAAAGTCCAAGGAGCTAGAGTAGAAGTTTCCCAGTGCATTAAAAAAAGAATCCAAAAACAAGAGACAGCTTTGTCTAAAAATGTGCCACAAGAAAAACATGACAACAGCAGCAGCAAAATCCTTTCCTGCTGTGATTGCAGCAGCAGCAATTCCAGAGCACATGGGGGGGGGGGGGGG